TTTTATTTTTTAAAAACAAAATAGTGTAAAATTTCACACATAATAAGATGTGACCTTGCCATGTTCTTTCTCTACTAGAAAGGAAAATTCTTAATTTTCAAATGTAGAACTCATCAAGAATGGTTAAGTTTGTCATGTCTGAAAAATAAATCTAAGTATTTAGATCAAGCAAAGCTCTTAAATTGTGGAACCACTTCTCACTGAAGATTGTTTTTAGTCTTTCCATCTAATCCTAAAATAAGACCATTTCCTACTCAAAAGATGGGAGGCAGAATGCTAACGCTTCAGAGATAGTAGCAAAAGGATTTCTGATATACTTCTGGATTCCATTCGGTTCTACTGAAGGATTTAAATTTATTTAACTAGTCAAAAATTTTTATCAATTTTTCACCAATTAGCAAATAAAATCACCAAATATTAGGAAATACAGTGATTCAGCTATCTGCTATATAGTTGAATCTCCAAATACTGTTTTTTCATCCTCAGCAGTAAAAATACCATAATCCTGAGGCCATTAAATGAAGCTATTCAAGACATTAACTATACTGCTGATATAGCACTAGATTAAGACACTTAAAATCTTGGAAAATCTTATTATCACCATAATGAAAGTGACCAAAGAGAGTCTCATATGCATACAACATAGTTTCAAATGATTCAATTTTTTAAAAGTTATTTATAAGTACACATAAAGATAAAACCAATGTGTCAAAATGTTAACAGCAAACTTAGGTAAAGGATATACACCATGTTCATTGCACAATTATTCCTTTAACTTTTCTGGAAATTTAAAATTTTTCTTTCTCTTTTTCTTTTTAAAAGACAGGAGTTCACTTTGTCACCCTTGGTAGAGTGCTGTTGCATCACAGCTCACAGCAACCTCCAGTTTTGGGGCTCAGGCAATCCCCTCCCCGATTTAAAATTTTTCAAAATAAAATACAAAGTTTGAACAACCTAGCCCATTCATTTGATAGGCTGTACCAGGTAGAAGTCATTTGAATAGTCTTTTTCCATTTAGGAAAAAGAATATTTCAAGGCCGAAGAGCAGAACCTGAACTACTAAGATCATTTTTTAAAAAAGGTATGCTGTAAAGATACATAGTTGTTGGCCATAATTTGATAGTATTCAGAATTTCACTATTTTCTTCAGCACCATGTCAAAATCAGAAGGCATATTATTTGCTACCAAATTTCGGGTGGAATGAAAACTGTGTAGATTGGCATTCTGCCAACTAATTTTTTATGTGCAACATCATTCCTTTCAGTACACATATGTGTGATCTAGCGTACCAATCTGAATGTATATTTTACATTCAAAATAATTACGAACACGGCTCAGAACCCATAGCGCAGTGGTTACAGCGCCGGCTACATATACCGAGAGTGGCAGGTTCAAACCCAGTGTGGGCCTGCTAAACAACTGCAACCAAAAAATAGTCAGGTGTTGTGGCGGGCACCTGTAGTACCAGCTACTTGGGAGGCTGAGGCAAGAGAATCACTTAAGCCCAAGAGTTTCAGGTTGCTGTGAGCTGTGACGCCATGGCACTCTACCCAGGATGACAGCTTGAGACTCTGTCTCAAAATAAATAAATAAATAATTATGAACTCAATGAAAAAAATCATTTTTCTGCAACCTGAGTTTCCACTAGTAAGGAAAACAAAGTTAGTTTCACACATACCAAGAGTGGAGTCCATCTGGCATCAATTCTTCCAAATATAAAGTGAAATATCACTAATGTTCTGAATGTTATTGAGAGATGTAATGCTGACAAATGTGAATTCTTTACTCACAAAGCCCAATACCATTATCATTGTGGCTAGGTGAGTGTCAGAAGTAAGGTGACTTATACCAGCTTTTGCCTTGAAAAATGTAAATTTGTTTTCTTCTCTGACTTCAGCAACTTATAGTAATCAACTCCTCCTGGATACTATTCTGTACTTACTTTAGAAAGTATTTGTTTTACCATTATGCTCAATAATATGTAATAGCTAAAGTTTCAATATTTTCATGACGATACACTGAGGACTTAAGAAAAGCAACTCACTAGTCCAATTTATTTTCAGATAGTCAACATCACACGACTATCTGAACCTCTGCTTTTTAGTCTGCTTTGACAAAATCGACATATATGCAGATTTAGTTTGCCTTGGCACACAAAAATTTAAATTAACATACCCAATGCAGTGTTTATACTGTCAACCTTTACAATGATGGGGTTTCTTTTTAATATTAATAATACTGGTAGTTGTATCCACTACTTTAACAATACAATGAACCAGTCTAAGTAACTAATAGTTAACTTTAAAAATGAGATTTACTAAGCCTATAATACATAAATGACAGAAAAACAGGAAAGCAAAAATAACCTGCTTCCTGTTTTAAATGTTAGCTGATAACAAATGACGGATTTAGTCATTTAGTCATTACATGTAGCACAAGTAACTTAAAAACTTATGAGGATCCTTAAAGGAAAAAAACCTAAGCCTCCTGGTGCTAACTATAACGGTCTTTTGTTCTTATAAGAAAAAGAAGTATGCTTAGAGTTCTTGGGAAAGGTAAAATTTACTGTGCTCTTTCCTATTAGAAGATAAAATGAATAAAATATTCAGAACCTTGAACTTCTTTATCTAGTCTCTACTTAAGTTATCCCTTTATAATTCCACAAAGCAAAAGAAAGTTGTAAATAGGACAGAAGTCACATATAATCCTTCCATGGGTATAAAACTTATCCCTAAACACAGAAATTATATATATAATATGTATATATATAAAGATTCAGCTACACAACGCAGACATCTATAATTTTGTCCCACAATCTCTAAGCAAACAGTGTGAGAGTTCAAGATCATGAGAACAGGCTCGGCGCCTGTGGCTCAAGCGGCTAAGGCGCCAGCCACGTACACCTAAGGTGGCAGGTTCGAATCCCCAGCCCGGGCCCGCCAAACAACAATGATGGCTGCAACCAAAAAATGGCCAGGTGTTGTGGCGGGTGCCTGTAGTCCCAGCTACTTGGGAGGCTGAGGCAGGAGACTCGCTTGAGCCCAGGAGTTGGAGGTTGCTGTGAGCGTGATGCCATGGCACTCTACCCAGGGGGATAGCTTGAGGCTCAGTCTCAAAAAAAAAAAAAAAGAAAAGATCATGAGAACAGCTGTTAACTATCCACCTTCAGGCAGTTAGGCTGAAGGCAGTATAGATGATATGTAAAGATTGTTTGGACATTGCATTTTTCTGAAAAACAAAGAACAAATGAAAACTTTTAATTGATCTCAATGTCATGAAATGTTTCATTTTTACGAAAATATGTTTTCAGTTTATGAAAATAATCAAAGGAGATATAACCCTACACGTACAGTTTTTCCCAAACTTGACATACCAAGTAAGAGCTAGAGATATAAGAGGATTCTACAAAAATGACGAATAGCCTTATATTTTAAAATTTGGGAAATACATGTAAACAAAATTTCTTTACTGTAGAGTACTTGGTACCATGGGAATTTACAGACCAGAATTTGAAAATCACTAATCCAAGGTAAATAGAGTAAAATAGTCATTTACTACTTATTAAATAAAATCAATCACAGTAAGTATTCAATTTCCCAACAGAATTCAGGTTTTACTATGTTAAACACCTGATATCTGCCCCATAAAAAAGTACTTCTTTGTACATGTAAAGTATTTTATACCTTAATAATAGATTTTTCCCCATATTCTAAATTGAGAACAATATTATTTGTCCGTTTTGCCACTTTCTCACCAGCAGCAAAATACAACTCACGAGAATTTAAAATATCTTTCTGAAGCCAAGGGTAGTGGCTCACTCCTATAATCCTAGCACTCTGATAGGCCGAGGAGTATGGATTGCTTGAGATCCCGAGTTCAAGACCAGCCTAAGCAAGAGTGATCCTATCTCTCCTAAAAATAGGAAAAAACTAGCTGGGTGTCAAGGCAGGTACCTGTAGGCTCAGCTATTCGGGAGGTGAGGTGAGAGGATGGCTTGAGCCCATCTTCTCTGAGTTTGAGAGTGCTGTGAGCTATGATATCATAGCACTCTACCCAGATCAACAGAGTGAGACTCTCTCACAAAAAAAAAAAAAGAAAGAAATATTTTGAAATTGTAAGACCAACTCAAACCCATACCTTATTTTAAATATAATGCTCTCTCTCTTTGCCAAGTTGTTCTCCTATCATAATTTACTCAGAACCAAATCCTTAAAGGACACTCTCTCGGGCCAACCATCTTCTAATCAGAAGGTTTATGTTTAGATATCTAGCAATTAAAGAAAAGTCATTATCAAAATTCTTGTATCCATACTGCTAAGAATCAGTAGACAGTTCAGCATCCTATTAAATAAAGAATATTCAAACTCAGTTAAAATAAAGTTTAATCAGCCAGGTGCAGTGGCTCATGCCTGTAATACTATCACTCTGGAAGGCCAACTGAGAAGACTGCTTGAGTTCAAGAGTTTAACACCATCTTGAGGAAGAGTGAGAGGATGTCTCTACTAAAAGAATAGAAAAATTAGCCCAGCATTGTAGCAGAAACCTGTAGTCCAAGCGACTTGCAAAGTTGAGGCAAGAGGACCGTTTAAGCCCAGAAGCTTGAGGGTGCTGTGAACTATGATGCTATGGCATTCTAGCCTGGATGAACAGAGTGAGACTTTGTCTCAAAATAAACAAACCAACAAACAAATAAATAAAATTAAAGTTTAATCATTCAATAGAGTTTGTAAGATGATTAAGAAAACAATGCCTCATGTTTTAATTTATAATTCCTATAGATAGCTGTCAGCTATTATCAGTATGAATTATTAGTATGCTATTAACTGCATATGACTAAATATTAAGATTGACTATATAGGCCAGTATTAGTCATGAGAATAAGCAGGAACTTACTGCCTTCTGCTATAAAAGGCAGAACTAAGTCTTCTTAATTTACGGACAGTTATAAAATATTATTCTATTTTCATGTAACTAAGCAGGAAAAGAATTATTTACATACTCTTCTTAATGTTTTTGGTTTGTGGATGTGGCTGAATTCCTCCAGCTGGAAGTCCATAGGTGCTTATTCGTTGTACAAGACTTGCTACATTCCCATGCCTTTCCCGTTTGATCGGCAAATTGTCATCCTTGGATTCTGTCTCTCTTTTAATTTCCTACAAAAGAAGGAAATCAAAATAGGCAAGTTATATTTTATCTAAATCAAATTCTCAACGGTAAAATATCAAAAGATAGCTACATCAATTACTGTAAAAATCATTCAGTAGTTGTGAATCTTTTGCTCTGCCCAAACATATCTAAAGAATGGAACATATTTTGGTAACAGTGACTCACTATGAGTTTAAGTCTTACCAGAACTGGAGCTGGAGGTAAAGAAAGGGAGGCTGTACCACTCACCCAACATACAATGAAATACTGAGATATGCAGACCAACAATAAGACAATAAATCTAAGTAAGAGGTGAGCAAACTTTTTCTATAAAGTGCCAGACTGAAAATAGTATAAACATTTTAGAATTTGCAGGCCATATGCTCTCCATTACAACAGCCAACTCTACTAAGTACAGTGTAAACGTAGTTGGATGTCTAGGTGATTAAATATAGCTATGTTTCAATAATACTTTATTTATGGGCTCTAAAATTTTAATTTCACTGATTTTTACATATCATGAAATATTACTGCTGATTTTTTTTCTAACCACTTATAAAATTCATAACTAGCATTCTTAGCTCATGGACCTTACAAAAACAGGTAGTATTTAGACTTGTTTTGTGGGCTATAGTTTAATGGCTCTTGTTCTAGGTCACAGGTACAACAGAAGATATGTGAACCAGCAGGGGAAAAAAGTGTAAAATTTTACTGGAAGACATTTTTTAAAACTCCACATATCAAAACAAGGCTATGCCATGCTCAGTAACTGAAAACACAATGTCACAAACATATTGATTCTCCCTAAGAAAACATTTAAATAATAGAACGCAATAAGTATACTAAAGATTTGGAGTAGCAATTTAGTAAGATGTTTCTAAATTTATATAGAAGAACAAAAAACCAGGAATAAACAAAATACTTCAAGAAAAAGTTCATGACTGCATTAATGTACACAGCTGTGATTTAATTCAAAAAAAAAAAAAGAAAAGAAAAAAACTGGAGGGACTTTTTTTAAAACCAAAACAGAAAACAATAATGAGATAATAAATTAGTTTGGTACTGTCATAAAAACAAACACACTGATAATCAAAACCTAAAGTTATAGGCAGTCCAGAAAAGGTGAGGAATGATGGAATCTTAAAATACATAGCGCATAAAAATACATGTACCATATTGATGAGGCAGGGACTAAAATAGGATTCCTGGCCAGGCATGGTGGCTCATGCCTGTGATCCTAGCACTCTGGGAGGCTCAGGAGGATGGATTATCAAAGCTCAGGATTTCAAGACCAACCTAAGCAAGAGCAAGATTCTATCTCTTAAAAATAGCAAAATTAACTGGTGTTGTGGGGAAGTCTACAGTCCCAGCTATTTGAGAGTCTGAGGCAAGAGGATCCTGTGCGCCCAGGAGTTTGAGGTTGCTGTGAGCTATGACACCCTACCCAGAGCAACACAGTGAGAGTCCGTCTAAAAAAAAAAAAGAAAGAAAAAAAAGAGTGAAGTTCTCATAGCATATTTCTGATCACAAAAACATCACCAGACTTCTAAACAAAAATCAAAACATTTGCTAATATTAAACACTGAAGTAAATGAGATATGTATATATTTAAAAAAGTTTAATAAAAACAAGTAAATTTATCCACTTATTCCAGTTCAGGGTTACAGGTAGCCCGGGCCTATCCCAGAAGCACAGAGTGCCAGGCAGAAACCAGCCCTGAAGAAGATGCCATCTCATCACAGGGTACACTCACACTGTCACACTCAGACTGGAACAATTTAGACATGCCACTTCACCTCACATGCACATACTGGGAATGTGGGAAGAAACTGGAGTACCCAGAGAAAATCTACGCAGACATGAAAATATGGAAACTCCACACATACAATAGCCCCAGCTAGGAACCGATTTTTTTTTCCCCATCATTATAATAAAACAACATTGAATGAGAAGAAATTATTCAAAGACCTCCTATATATTATCAAGATGAATGGAAAGGTGAAAAAGATCATTCCACATAGTATAAAAGAATAAGTAGGAGGAGGACAGAACTAGAGGCAAGTACACCAGGTGATAGCTGAATGTGTCTGGAGTTATAATAGTTACAGGGGAGAAATTCAGAAAGCTTCAACAAAAATGTAAGAGGTAGAATCTTGATAATTCATCAGATAAACTAAGAAGAACAGAGTCGGAAACGACGCCCAAGTTCCTGACTTCAACTATTCAAACGATGTTAACCTTAATAAAGAATGGTAATATATCAAGAGAATAAGAAGACAAGCCACAGACGGGTAGGAAATATTTGCAAAAGCCATATCTGAAGACATCTGATAAAGAACCATTATTCAAAATATACAAAGATATTTTAAAAGTCAACAATTAAAAAAAAACAGCCAATAAACAACAGTGAAAACAAATTTTTGGACAAAAGATCTAAAAAAAAAAAAAATCCCATGTGATTTCTCTCACAGTCCCTGTTCAACACAAAAAAATAGAGCAGACAAGCTTTGCTTTCACCATCTAGAGACTTAATCACCAAACTTTTGGTATTTTTATGACTAAAATTTCAACAGGTACATCACTAAAATGTAAGCTCCAAGACGAAAAGAATTTTGTTTTATTGTATTTTCACTGCCTACAACACTAACACCTAAAAGGCACTAAAATATTTAATAAATAATATTCATAACTAGTAAAAATAGCATAACCCTCTAATCTAAAAATAGACCCAACCAAATATAGAAATTCTATATATAGTAAGGGAACTATTTGAAATCGGTTTAATGAGTTCTTCATTAAATGATATTGGGACAACTAATAAAACATACAGAAAAAAATAAACTGACTATATTGTACCAAAGTAAATTCTACCTAATCAAAAAATAATCTGGATTATAAAAAATAAATAAGAGATTAAGAGAAAATGTGGATGAGCATTTCTTTATAACTTATAAGTAAAATGACTGATGTCACGACTTCCAACTAAGATACAGAGCCAAGACAATACTCAAACTGACTACAGATGAAATATCCACACTACAAAAGTCACCATTAAAAAAGAAGCTGAAGAAAGAGATCACAACATAATCAAAAGCATCAAAGGATTTATTATTTCAAAAACTTCTGCATGCCATTAAGAAAAATGTCAATTTTTTTAAATGATCAATGAACAGATAATCCACAAAAGAAAAATAAACATGGAACACACGAAGACTGAGAACCTAATAAAAACATCACTGTTTTTAGAAGATTTACCTGGTACATCTAAAAACTTTTTAAATATCTGACAATCCTGCCAAGAGGAAATACAGGAAATTTATCAAAAATTTGAATGCATGTGGTCTCTGATTAACAAATCTCCTTCTAGAGATATGTCCAATGGAAATAAACGGACAGCTACCCAAAGACGCATATGTTTGTGTCCACTTGAGTGCTTGTGATAGCACATCATTGTAACTGTAAACTAAAGCTTAATTAGCCATAATTTGGGAACTATTTAAATAACCTCTAGTATATCCACTTGATAAAATACTATACAGTCGGCTTGGCGCCTGTGGCTCAAGCGGCTAGGGCGCCAGCCAAGTACACCTAAGGTG